CGCCCCCTGCCAATAGAGGAGGCTGAAGACCCAGCCTGTATACCAATCTTCTGGGTCAGTAAATGGGTGGATTATTCAGATAAATATGGTTTAGGTAAGTACCAGTCTGAACAGTACTATTCCAGTTAACTTGTGAAATGCACTACGATTGCAATAATTTATCTGCTTGATGTGTAGTCAATAAATTCCAATATCAAGAGAAACTTCTTGCAATGAGTGAAATGTTGGATTTTGCGTCAAGTAGGCTGTATCCATCCTGCACTTCCGTCTGATCTGGTTGGCTAAGTGGAGAAACAGATATTGCCATACTGGTTCAGGACTTGTTTGTATTCTCTTTTTTTTTTTTCAGTTTGTAACTCTGTCACTTGAGACCTTTTGTAGATTGCTTTTTTTTATTGGTGCCTCATGATGTGTAATATTTGATGACAACTTTCTTCCTGGTCAGATACTGTATCTTAAGTGGGTGTACAGTAGCCTCTATATTCTGTTCCCTTACCTTGTGGCAGTACACTGACCCAAAATCAAATCATTCTCTAGGTTATCAGTTATGTGACAACAGTGTTGGTGTACTCTTCAATGATTCTACTCGTTTAATCATGTACAATGATGGGGAGAGTCTTCAATACATTGAGCGTGACATGACTGAGACTTACCTGAACTTTCGATCCTACCCCCCCAGCCTAAGTAAAAAGGTGAGTACCACAGAAGCATTGGCAGGATTTATTAGGCATCAACAGATGCTTATGGTGATTGGACTCAAGGCCCTGGTCTGCCTTGTTATTCATAAGCATTGGAGAAATCCCAGCAATTTCATCCAATTTGGTGTGCACAAGTGGTCTATTATCTGTTAAATGCACATATTAATGTACCAAGGAGGAAACTTTTAGCTTGGCAGAATCACTCCCACCTCTATCCAGGAGGAACGGTTTTGAACTCCTAACCTACATATTCCTTTGACACGGAGATGAATTCCAGCTCTAAATTGACATTTGACATTGTGAGATATTGCTGTGTAAATGCAACACTCCATTCTAAAAATTGTCAGAACCTGTCAGAACAATAAGTCTTCCTGCAGTAAACAACTAATTCACCAACAATCCATGTGGTTCCAGCCTGAGGTATAATTGTTAGGTCTGTGAGACTATTAGTTAGCCTGGATATCCTCCCTTGAGGATTAATGTGATTGATTTCAGGATGGGTTCAGGGATCAGCAAAATCAGGGTTACTACTTCACTGGTTCCTGCTAAAACTGTGAAAAGGATTGAGCTTTGACAACTGAATTGTGGTCATCTGGACTCTGCCTTGGCTAAAGTATGAGGATGGTGGGTGCCTGTCAAACTGTTCCTTTTTTCTCAGAATGGTAATAGTTCACCTGAACTGGATGACAACTTCTCTGACCTGCCCCAAAACAGTGACTGAAAGTATGAAAGTGAAAATGTTGAAGGTATAGCCAGTAGGAGTGTTGTTCATCGGGTCCTCTACTTGCAGGCAACTCTATTGAAATACTTCCGTAACTACATGAGTGAGCACTTGTTGAAGGCGGGGGCCAACATCACTCCCCGGGAAGGTGACGAGTTAGCACGGCTTCCATTCCTGCGGATCTGGTTCAGGACTCGCAGTGCAATTGTGTTGCATCTCAGCAATGGCACTGTTCAGATCAACTTCTTTCAGGTGAGCACCTCTTTAAATCACCATTTAGAAGTTACTTTTGGTGAATCAATGCAATGCAAGGAATTTTAACTTTTTCTTTCCAGGACCACACTAAAATCATCCTGTGCCCACTAATGAATGCTGTGACCTATATTGACGAGAAACGAGAATTCCACACGTTCAAGCTGAGTATGATTGAGGAGCATGGCTGCTGTAAGGAGCTGGCAAGTCGACTGCGTTATGCACGCACAATGGTGGAGAAGCTGCTCACCACAAAAACTATGGGAACACGGGTCAAACACGCAGCATGAAGACTGGCGCTTCTGTCTGGCTGACCTACGTCTGCCCTCATTGGACCAAGTCTTTGCTATTTTAGGGCGCAAAATGTTTGTGTAAATAAATCCCTCTTTTTGTACGGCTCGGTTTTTTTGTATTAAAACACTTTTTTGAAGTAAACATGTGAACAATGTGTTTTGAATCGAGTTGGAAGAGGGAAGAAACATGGTGACTCTCCATTATGTGTAGTGACTCGCAGATGAGATCATGTAAATTTAAGCTGTACATTGTGCGCCACCAAACTTGCTTTTACACTCCTCTTTGCAGGTGTCTAGTTGTTCTACATTTTATACTCTATGTCAAAAGCACTTTACAACCTTGATCTACTGCTTCTCAGGCAACAACTGTTATATCTTGCACTTTGTATTTTCTTGCACCAACCTCTCCCTGGTCAGATTTGAGATGAGGAACTCTAGTGGTTGAAGAACAACATTGTATGTTGGTGTTCTAACAATAGGAAATGCAGTGACTGATTTCCAATGGGCATGTAATTTTGTTTAGTTGAAAAACTGAAATGAGAATCTTGAGATATGAATATATTTTGCTAAACCTTTTGGCCCTACGTATCCAATGAAACCTATCCTGAGTACAGTTGAATAAACTTTTAGGAACAACTACCTGTACAGCTATTAACACTGGTCTCTCTGTTTAATGGGAGAACGTTTTGTACTTGATACAATTTTTTAACGTAACATATTAAAGAAATAAATCTGTTCTTGAATAATTTTTGTAGTGTTTGATTTAGAGATGGAATAGAAAAAAAGACAATACATTCATTCCCAAAATATGTTGGGGTATCCTCTACTAGCTGCATGGCTAGTACTTGTTGAAAGACCTCCACAAAGACACATTTCTGGTAAGTGGAATTATGGATGTGGATCAGTGGAAACAACAGGTCTGTTTCTGCCCTACAGAAAAGGGGAGTGATAATGCAATGCAAATAGCCAACAGCTGCTTTCTTTTTCTGCATGAATGTTGTTCTGCCAAGTGTAGGAAAAAAGCATAGCGTGCTTGGTGTTTAGAAATTTTATTTTATCCTTTTACTTTCCAATACAAAAGTTTTTACTCATTTACAGTGTAAACTCTGTACAATCCAAGAAATTAAAAGAAACAGGAAGGTGAACTTCATTTAACAAAATCATGTGCCATAATTCTGCTTCCTGCATAGTAAAGAGAGGTTCTATACAGTCTGTTGCTTTTAAAAAAACAACTCCATACCAATGTTTTATAAAACAGCAAATAGTTAAACACCTGTCTGAATGGAAAAGGATTATAAAATGGAGCAGGGTACACAGCTGTAATAGATCATGCCCTTCAGTGGTAGTAGTGGGCAGATTATTGAAACCCTTTGCATAAAGGGTTTCAGGCACCCAAGCAGTCACAGTGACTAATGAACTTATGCAAGTTGTCGAGATGCACAGCTAGTTCCTAAGATCTCAAACCACCCAGCCCATGCAACTGAGTGAGAAACTAATGTACATAAAGCATATCTGGAAAATAGTGGTGTAAACACACTAGGTGCTACAGGTGCATTGAGAACTGATAGCACAAAAATCAACTGTGAAAGAAATCCAAACAGCAGATATCAAACACTCTTCTAACATCAATGTAGATAATTTTTCTGCAAAGCAGCTAGCAAGTTCAAATGATGAGTTGAGATAACCATTGTTATCTTAATATTTCTATCTAAGACTAAACATATTGCACATCAAATTCCCAGTGTTTTATTAAATTCTTAATGCAACTATTCCTACAATTTATCTGTAGCAAACCATTTTTTAATTCACCCCAAATCTTTGGCAGTTTGATTTTTCAAATGCATTTTAAGAATACACCAAAGATACCATCACCTATTTCCATTAGCAGAGAGATCAACAAGCACAAGGCATAGCACAATTTTAAAATAATTGGCTGAAGGAATTGATAGTATTTTCAACCAGAGGATGTAAAGGATTTAGAACCTATTGCCTAAAAGGCTGATCAGGGTAGAAACTTTAATTGCATAGAAAAATGCTTGGCTATGCACCTGAAGTGCTATAACCTACATGGCTACAGTCTAAGAGGCTCAAGAGCTGGAAGATGGAATTTGAATGGACCTTTCTGTACCATATACCTTTCTATTGATTTTTTTAAAAATCTAACCATGTTCTTTATACAGGATCACACATACCAGCAGCAGTGCAGGTTATGGGGTTCCTGGTTTCTCTCCCTCTTAAAAAAAAAATGACATGGTCAAACATCCAAATATTAGACACAAGAATGTTCACTCCCAATTGTGCAGAGCTCATTTTAAATTATGTCCTGCTTCACTATGTAGACAATGCATACAGCCTACAGAAATTTTCACTGAATTTGCTCAATTATGAACCCAAATAATGCTTGGCCCTCCACTGATGTGCTGACAAAAGGAATGAGTAGTTGAGTTTAGAAACAGGCAGGTAAAGGGATTTATGCAGAGTTAGCTGGGAGATAGCAGTGGTCCTGAGTCCTGTGGTTCCTGCTCTCCATCACTATCGACTACCCACCACACTACCACCTCTTAACTCGGCAAAACAGCATTGGCTTCAGTACAGCAGGGGTAAATGATGGCAGCGATTCCTACAGATATGAAGGGGCAACCATGTATTTACTGATGTGAAAAGTCACTTTGGTTGTTCAGATAAAATTAAAATCCTTTTTTTTTAAAAAATAGGTTGCATTAATTACTCAATAGAAAATAATCTCTGTAGAAAAGATTTGTCCAATCATTCGTAATAAGATCATGCTGCAGCAACATTACACTATAAACCTTCATACCAGTGTCACAAATAGCAGATTCTTCACAAGTCACAAGTGCACTGATGACATTTCCAGAATCAATTGTTTCAACATAGTGCAGATTGTTGTTGGAATTCTACCATGTTTCTCCCCTTCTTGGGTTAGTGACAAAGCAGGAATCTTACCAAGTAAATTGTCATTGTTTTTAGTTACTAGTGAAACCATTCTTATACAGCAAAATTATAGCTACATATAAACTTGTTCAGACATCTTTAGCTGCCGCCCTCTAGTCTTCTGCAATGGTCAGTGATTATGTGTATGATACAAACGTGTTGATGAGTCAATTCAGTTCATTTATGAATAATAGTCCTGACAATGCCTTCGGCACAGAGCCCTCCCTAAGGGAGAAACACTTTTGCTTCCACAGTAGTGACATCACTGTTAAGAGATGCAGCAATGTTAATAGGTCACTTCTCTCCCCATTATGTCTTAGTTCCCCATCTCCCTGCAGGACAGTCCATTTGTCTGGTTGTACACCACACTGAGTGGAAATATCAGCAAGGATGTATTGGCTTCCAGTCCAATCTTGCCAACGAAGTGCAGTAAAGCAGTTTGTTCTGTTGTGGGATGTAAAGTTCCAAACATAAATTTGTGTCAGTGCAGTGATTTAAGTTAATTCTCCTGTTCTCCGAGGATGCTGTCTTGTTCTCTACACGACAAATCCCAACGTGAAGAGCAGTTCTCTCAGTCTCACAGGATACCACAAGCATATCCGTGGGGTGCCTGGGGCATTGCTTTCTACTTTTCTGGCTTTAGAAAGTTTTTTATGTTGGCACAGTTGAAGTGCAGGAAAGTACAGTAGTTAATTTTTCCTCGTCTCCATCTCCCTGATGATAGTATGGGTGAAAAAGCCTCTCATGGCTGCATATCTGCATGGCATTGTAAGTGTGCAAAAGCAAGTTTGGGAATCGAAATGTGAAGTACTGCACAAACTGGTCAGGTACCTCTCCCAGTGTCTCCTGTACCTCTGGGGGCAATTCATGATAGTGATGTTTCTGTGAAGAGTTATTTTACATAAGATACGTGAAAACAATTTTTAATATTTTAATCTTTAAAATGTAATCTGATTTTTAAATACAAAAATGTTCTTTCGCTCACTGAGGTGATTGATGACTGCACTGGCAAAATGGAACACTTCTATTTCAAGCAGTCACCAACTGCATCAGGTCTGTGCTGGGAAGTAAAACGCAGCCACATGCAGAGTGCAGCTCCCTCCACTCTACACCAATCTTCTTGTATTTTGAAAATCCTCTCCCTACTGCAACATTGTGACATTTCTCATTTTCCACAGCAGCCATTCTTAAGGCTGTCTGAATAACATTAACAATTAGCACATTATTAGGAACAGTAGAATGCTGTTTTCCCATGCCCACAAGGTAGTGACTCAAGATCATTCAAACTAGTTTCACTATCCCTTAAAAGTATGAGGTAAATAGCAGCATTAGATGAAAGTGAATGGGATTTTAATGGCAGCAGACCTTGTTTCAAAATGTATATTTGAGTTAACTTTTATTTGTTATTGAAGATATATAGCTCTACAAACTCTTTAACCCAATACAGTAGCACATGCCACTATTTCTGAGATATTATTCTGCTGTGCATACATCCTCATTAATTTAAAACTTTCAGCCACTAACGTCCCACTTTTCTCTTCGTCACATCTCTCCATTTCCAAAATCATCCTCATAGAATCCCTTTTAAACTTGGCTTTGCTCCCCAACCCTAATTCTTCTTTAATACAAAAGCCCTTTATAAGAGTTCTCGCTAGCACATTGGTGCAATTGAAAAGCTTAAGATTGTCATATTGTACTGTATATAAGCTTGGAGATGACAAGTCTTAAATTTCATGTCTCTTAAATGCCTGATGTTGTAAAGTGGCTTTAAGAGAAAGAAAAAGTTGAAGTTATAGCCAAAACAGGGTTAGACCACCACATGTTCCAGGGCATCCTGTTGAGATACAGAGTATAGCTAACAGTTAGAAGGCTCACAACATTGACTGACTGAAATAATTGGCTCGAGCATTATTGCTGAGAGAGGCTAGAATGCATTCTCATTTGTCAAGAGTCAGAAATACTGATTTGGAGTCTTTAATTATGAGGTTTACAAAATAGAGTTACATTAATAAGATCTCTGCATTTGCTAAGGAATAGTGTTTTGTCAAAGGACACTTGCTAGCAGGCACTTGCTCAGAGAATTAAAGTTAGTGGGAGTAAGATACTTTTTATGAAGTTATCATTTGTATGGGAAGGAAGAATTTGTTGTGCTATTGTAGTTGTATGAAGTGCAGCTTAGCTTTAACAGTTAAAGTAGACTGAGAAGTCTCAAGGTACAAAGGAATTTGTATTTATGTTAAATTTAACTTAAGTAAGTTAAAACAACAAAGGAAGTTGTGAATCAAGAGAACCAGGTTAAAGGAATCAAAGAGAAGACCCTTGAAGTGCAGAAATTCACAGGAAATACAGATCAACACTCATTAAACCCATGTATTGTGCCACATCTCGACTAGTGGAACGTTAAGTATTTATTTTTCTTCTCCAATAAAACGTGTTAGTTTTGCTTTCTAAATTATTAACTGTCCTTGTTGCCAGCATGGTTAAAGTTCTGATCATGGGTTTAGAATTAAGTCCAAATCCCAACAGCTACATTCTTAAGTCTTCGATTTGGCTAAGAAACACCTGGCCTGTTCCTCACCTTATTTCTCATGGCTCGGAGAAGGTCTCGCACAGAATTTCCTTTGTATGTCCGAAACTTTCTCAAATCTTAGGAAGAAAAGAAACACACTGTAAACTGGATCTTTGTACTTACTGTGGATCATTTACTGTCACAACAACTTTGTTTTTGTTCCTGATTTACAGCATCCACAGTTCTTTTGGTTTTTATTTTGGATCATTTACTGTGTTGGGATAG